GCTTTACCCTGTTTACTGTAAGCAAACCTGGTTTGTCTTCTAGATTTAAACTTTTCTCATAATATGCTCGAACATAACTTTCCAATAATTTGGCGATCCAAATCGATGTTGTGTTTTTTTTAATTTGGACAATGAATTTTGAGTAACTGGAATTAACAAGACATTTGCTGATGAACGTGTGCACATTTTTTTTGTGTACTTGGAATACGACTGCCTGAAGACTCTTGCTCCTGATTTTGAGCTATACAGTTTGCAGCCTGTTGAAATTTATCTTTTAAGTTTTAGTCAAACCGTTTTTAAAATATCCTTGCGACAGTCATGCAAAGTTAGTTAAGTATGGATATCTCATAAAATAACTTTTTAAAAAAAATCTTAGAAATTCTATTTATAACAACAATTGTATTTTTCTTGAATTTTTTATCTATTAAATATTACACTATAGACAATGATTAAACATTAGATGCAATTTTATTCATAAAAAACCAATTTTATAAATTGATAAACCATCTCAGTTCTACGCATACTCCGTACCCTGTTACACGCAAATCATTCAATTACTAATGTCAAAATTTTTTATTTGTAATCCTTTTTTAAAGGTCAGAGCCATTTAAATCACAAATTGTACATTACAACTTAAGTTTAAAAGCAATTCCTAATTTCTGGTTTTGATTTAGCTTTATTGAATGTGCACACTCTGGACACAATAGAATGTTAGTTGGTACATTTCCTTGTCTTTTTAGAACTAAGTTGTAGTGCTCTGCTTTATATCTCTGCCAAAACGATTGACTAAGCCTTTAATTAGTTTTAAAAGTTGTGTTTCGAACACGGTTATATAGAAATTAAACGGAAAAGTGTTACAAAAAAAAATTATTAGTGTACAACATTTTATAAACAAGTTTTGTTCATTATATTTTACTTTCTAACTAAACAATAACAGCCTACTTACTTTCCTGTCTTTACAACATGTTTTGCATTATCAGATAGTTTGACAAGTTTGTGACCATCTTAATTCTTAGCAATATTCTCTAATTTTTAAAACATCAATAATTAGATTATTGACGATTTCTTAATATTTATTGATAATACCTGTTTTAATTTTTAATGAATTCTACAATAGAACCCTATTCCTCTGGTGTCAAAACTTGTAGAAAGCTCAGTATTAAAAAGCCTATTTGGCTTCTGGTTTGATTTTAAAAAAATATCAAAATAAAAAATTCGTTTTTATCGAGATTTGGCTCAATTTTCATCAAAATTCTTTAACAGAAACTAACTTTTTTTTAAATTTTTTAACATGGTAAAGATAGATAGAGTTAAATCAAGAACAAAACGAGCAGTAAAAAGAATAAAGATTTTTAATGGAATAGTGCTACGTTGCAGTGTTATTGTTAATATTGTAAATCCTCCTTCTTTAAGTGATAATATTGAATCTTATGTTGGTAATCAAACAGACATCTTCAGTACGTCGAATTCTTCTTTTCATAAAGTTGAACCGTTTTTCAACGCAATTCTGCAAAGTTATGCCCATATCAAAAATAAAATGACAGGTTATAGAATAGTTGACTGTTCTATTTTGTCAGATGTTGTAAGCGTTCTGAGTTGCCCAACTTGCTTCCAAACAACATTAGCAGTAATTGAAAACATTAGCAAAAAGCGAGGATATGCTTGTGAACTTTCAACTGTTTGTTCAAAATGTAAGTATCAAAATGACTTTTATACTTCTAAATTGTTAAATAAAAAAGGAAGCTTTGATATAAATACATGAACGATATACACAATGAGAACTCTTGGAATAGGACATTCTGGAATTCAAAAATTTACAACTCTCATGAACATGCCAAAGCCAATGACGCAAAAAAACTATGATAAACTTGTTTTGAAAATAGCTGATATTACAGAGGATGTTGCACAGGAAACAATGGCTGATGCTGAAGCTGATTTAAGACAAAATTGTCAAAATGATAATGAGATTTTGGATATTGGTGTATCGTGTGACGGCACATGGCAGCGTAGGGGTTTTTCCTCATTAAATGGTTTATTTGCAGCACTCTCAATGGACAGTGGGAAAGTATTAGATGTTGAGGTAATAAGTCGAGTCTGCAAGGGGTGCTCTTCAAATCAGAATTTTGCTAAAAAAGATCCTACTGCTTTTGTCCAGTGGAAAAATTCCTATATTTGCAAAATAAACTATATTGGTTCTGCAAGTGGAATAAAATGCGAAGGAGCCAACCGCATTTTCCAGCGATCAATTAAAAAACACAAACTAAAATACATTATCTTTTTGGGTGACGGAGATAGCAAAAGCTACAATAGTGTCAAGGATGTTTATCCTAGCACTCAAGTGACTAAATTAGAATGTGTTTGGCACTACCAAAAGCGTGTTGGAACCCGACTTCGAAAATTGAAAAAAAAAGTGAAAGGACTTGGTGGTCGTGGAAGATTGACAGATTCGACAATCGATCGACCGCAAAATTTCTTTGGTTTGGCAATTAGACAGAATACTGGTGATTTAGTTGCCATGAAATCATCAGCGCTTGCAACTCTATTTCACGTAGCCTCATCAAAAATTAACAACTGGCACTACCCACATTGCCCAACGGATGCAAGTAGCTGGTGTAAATGCAACAGCGACAAAGTAAATAGGACCAATACCTACAAGCTAGGTCCTGGACTTCCCTAAGATGTTGTATAGAAGATCAAACCTGTGTTTGAGGACCTTACTAAAGAAGATGAGCTTTGAAAATGTCTTCATGGCAAAACACAAAATGCGAATGAGTCTTTTAATGGAAAAATTTAAAATCGTATACCGAAGACAAAATTTGTCTCCTTGACAGTGCTCAAGTTCGGTGTCTACGACGCTATAGCAAATTTTAATACTGGAATGAAGTCGTCAAACTAATTTACAAAAAACTTAACATGATTCCAGGCTATTTTACAATAAACGGTTCGAACGCTATAAACAATTAAATGGTCGATCTATCAAAGAAGGTCACATAACAAATTGCGTCGTCAAAAGTTAAGAGCTAAAAAAATGACAAAACCATAGAAAAAGAAAGCAAAACATATGAAACAGGAGGTTTCTAATTTCAATTAGAGTCTTTTATGTTATATTTGGTATGTTCGTAGGTTATTTATTTATTTTTTTTACTTTTTGCGCGTTTTTTCGGTTCAAGGTTTTTCAATGTCGGCCGCAATTACAAGAGATCCACTTGGGCTTTTTGCCTGAAATTTTCAGCACATCATCATTTCAATAAGAGCTGTGTTTTAAGTGGAACAGAATTTTAATAAATCAAGTAAAAAACCAGTATGGCTAATTTATATTTTAATAAAATGAAAAACTTTTGATCTTTTTTGTTTTGTTTATTAGTAAAATTTAGCGTTGCGTAATTTATCGACGATCCACAGTGAAAGAAATTGTGTAAATCTACACCCTGTAAAAATCATATGTAACATGACCAAAAATTTTTGTTGTCCTTTTGAAAAATCAAAGTATATACCCTTGTGTGCCTAAAACATAAAAACTTAAATCTTCTACTGAGATCCAAGACGGAAATTTTCACTTTGAAATTGATGAATAAAATTATTGCTTTTTTAAATATTTTATGAATGTATATGTGCCTCTCTTAAGTATACCTATGAGCAATATGAGGCAGTCACATGCAAGACTTGTCCTTGCATGTGACTGCCTCATGCTTGATTACTTTTCTTCATGCAAAGGAAGCACAAACATTCGTGAAATTTATTATGCGTCTTGGCTTTTGTTTTTTGATATTTTTAATTTTTTAAACACAAAATTTTAACAATTTATACCATAAACATATCACATTATGGGTAATTCATTATATACTAAAAACTGATGCATTTGATGATGAAGGCACATATACATTCGTCAAATATTTTAAAAAACAGTAATTTTTTCAGTAGATACTTTAAATTTTTTATGCTTTAGGTACCCAAGGGTATATACTTTGTCCCCTCAAAAGTGCAACAACAAACCTTTTTGGTAATTTTCATAGCGTTTTTTACTACTAGTAGAGAACGCCTTTCATATTACATATGACTTTTACAGGGTGAATCCGATGTACCGTTAACGAAATCTATTAAAGTTAGTAAAAATTGCTTAACTAGTTTTGTTAAGCAATTTTTACTAAAAAATAGAGACATACAGATATTTTTAATTCTAATAAATAAAAAGTTTCAAATATATGAAGTACCTAGAATAAGATCTAGAAAGTTAAATTATATAATGCTCTTCTAGCAGTGAAACAAACTTTAATAGAGAGCAAACAAGTATTTTAAACATCTGGAATCGCGGTGTCAAAAGATTGAAGGAAATATATTGTATTTTTGAAGAGTTGGTCTTATTCTCATTTATAAACGAATACTAAATGATTTTAATGGGTTTTTATTCTTAAATTTTTGAATTAAACTAAATACCTTATTGTTGATTTATTCAAATAATTAAAAAAAGTTATTAGGATATTCGAAAACCAAGCTTTGTCTTAAACAATAGACCATGTTATCAAGGCCGGCGCGATAGGGGTGTGTGTGTGGGTGTGTGTGTGACACCCCCCCCCATCAATGATTTTTAGTCGGCAAACTGGACCCTTAGTCGGCAAATTGGACCCTTAGTCGGCAAATTGGACCTAGTTAGTCGGCAAATGTGGACCCCCTTTCGATATAGGTTAACAGTCGGCAAATGTCGACATGACAGTCGGCAAATTTTGGAAAACGAGGACCCCTTTTTTTTTTTTTTAGTCGGCACAAGTTGCAATAGCACCCCACCACGTGACACCTACTCGCGCCGGCCCTGCATGTTATTGTGTACCGTGAAATAAATGGTAACATTTATATGATATATTTGCAGAAATTGCAGGAAACTATGGAAACTATGGAAGGTATTCGCGAAACTATGGAAGGTATTCGCAAAACTATGGAAGGTATTCGCGAAATTTTAGAGATTAAATAATGTGAATGTTTTAAAGAAATAAAAAAACTTTAGCTACAAAATGTTTTAAATTAAAGCTCAGTAAAAAAAGTTGACAAATAGAATATTCGTTATTTCACACACTAAAAAAATGCTATTAAAATACTCCTTTATCGGTTCCGGTTCAATAAACAAACTCAAAACTTGCCAAAAAAAAAGAATTGTGATAAAAACTAAAAGTATGCTAACAAAAGGTAATAACAAAATATAAAAATAAAGGAATATGCTTAAATAATTACATAAATTTCACTACGCTTACATAAAATGTAAATCAGGGTTGAAACAATCGTTTTCAATTTTTAATTAAAAGTTCTTATTGGTTTCATTAACTAGTCACGCCAACAAACGGATAGCTGTCTATAAATCTTTATCTTTAACTAGCCGCTTCTTGCTCTTGATTGGATAACTCCCCGTTCCTTTTTGCAATATGAAGACGTTGTTTCTAAAACATTATATTGAAATCGATAAGAAAAGTATTGACGTAAAGAAGTATAAAACAAATACAATCCAAATGAACTTAGTTACCTTATAAACTTGTGAGTATGCATCTCGAACAAGATCATAAGGGAAATACATATCAAACTCATCCTGCGAAAGGTACTGTGATTTCTTTACAATCTAAAAATAGAATAAATATCTAGATATTTGTATATTGCTCACACTTGCTGCCCTCGGAATTAAAAAAGAAAAAGGAGACCGGCAAAAAATTGCTGATCTTTAACTATTATAGAGTTCGGCATCAGGTCGGCAAGATTTTTTTTACTATAAAAACATAAAAACGAGGTCGGTAATGCCAACCCCAAATATTTTAAGTTGGATGTTAAGCTGACTCTAATTCCGAAGGCTGCACTTGTATGTATTATTTTAGCAGTATTAGAGTTAAGCAATAGAAATTTAAATTTTTAATTCAAATTCTCACTTTTAATATATTTGAAAAGAAATTATATTGAGTCTAAAATTATCTAACTGAATCAATACATAATTGTAATAATAAATCTTTGAAAGAACTTTTTTTACACAATACAATCTATTAGTCAAAGGATGTGACAAACGTTGTTTTTTTTGTATTTTATTTATGAGAAAATCAACTTTGTGACCAAAGAAATGAAAAGGAATAAGTATTTTATTAGTAATATGAATTATTAGACAAAACAAATCTTACTAAGTCTAACAATACAAATGACGAAGAACGCTGGCGAGCAACTAAGTCTTTGTTTGACTGATCAACGCCTAGCCTCAACAAACCAGACGTAGCAACCTAAATTAATATTTAAGATAAAAAATAAAGCAAAATAATAATAATAATTGTTTAACAAATCAATCTCATACTTTATTATATACGACAATGATTGATCTAATATAATATATTTGACGATTATCAAGTATAATAATTGATTGCATAAATTCTTCCAACAGCTAACATTAGCTAACCAGTGTTAAAAGTAGTTTCAGTGTGCATAACATAGGAAACTTGATGCATGTGATGATTCTACGCAAAATTTTAGTATTCCTTAGACTAATTACAATAACAATCACTTTTAACTTTAAAACATACTGTTCACTTATTTGAAATAAGACAAGCATTAATTTGTTCTCGGTTTCCTTTTAAAAGACGAACTTAACGCTGAATAATCACATTATTCTGTACATATTGTTAGTTGGCTAGTGCTGTAAGAAGATGATATGAAATCTGCATTACTAAGAGGAGTATATAAATAAGACTTATTTATTTAACAAATTAAATGGTAACTTATTACCATTTAAATTGTTGATGTTAAACACTTTTTTTTTAATTAAAAAAATCATTTAATTGGAAATAAGTTAAAAAAAACCTTTAAAAAAATCTTCATCTTTTCATCAACATCTTCACCTGTAATTGTAAAAAGTGCCTGTGGAAGTGAGTTTAAAGCAACTGCCATGCAGTGAGCATTGTTTTCATGAGCTAAAATATTATTTAAAAGAATGTTAAAAAGAGAATAAAAATATCAACACCAATAACAACAACATAAAAAAAATATAAAAATAAAAAGACCTTCAAAAAGAGGATTGTACTCATTATTATCTTTGAACGCTAGAATGGGTACTGCAACAGCCCATAATACCTAAAAATGGAAAAGTTTATAAAATAGTCTATTAACCAGTAATGAATCCAAGGAGGAAGGGGGATATGCACCCCCCCTTCCATTTTGCTTTACATAAATTTCTAAAAATTAAGATTTAAGTTACCGAGCAGTCCTTGAAACCACAAAACAAATGTCAAGCGACACCTGTTTATAGCAGTGTGCTATAAACACACTACTATAAACAGATATCGCTTGACATAACATCAACACATTTCATTCTATTTCATAAGAGAAGCAATAATCTTCTTGAACTTGTTGTTGTGACAAGTTGTATCAAAGCATTACTAAGACAAATAAATTGATTCGATATTGTCATTACAATTATCTATTGCAGAACTTCTAAACGTCAGTCTTGGTGCTGCAATAAATTGATGCTACTGATAGATTTTTTCCAATCTATGTTGAACACAGAGCATGTAACAGTTACATGTATGGGTGCCTAATTATTTGAATAGAAAGGGTACAAGCAGGCGATATCTATATGTATCTGTATGTAGATCCAGAGAAATATGACATAAATTAATATAAGGTCATAATAAAGTATAATGCCATATTGAAATAGACAGCTGTGAGGGCTTCAACACATACATTGAATAATTAAATAGTGATACCTATACAAGCATTACCACTACATCAGCTAAGGGTTTGGGATAGAACAGTTTTCTTTTTTTTTCATTATTCTTTGTTTTTTTAAACCAATGATAATTGAACATGTATGTATTAAAGGCCATTTATATCTATATCTATCAGAAAATCAAATAGTAAATATAGTAGCATTTTATATATATAAACAAAAAAATCATTAGTGATTAATGCAGAGCTATTTTCATTAACGCACTTTATGTTGAAAAGTAACAAGAAAAAAAACAGAGATTGATTAAACTCAATATTTTAGAAAAAATAACTTAACAAGATATCGTTGAATAGTTATGTTTTAACTTTGTTATTGTGCAGCAAACCATTTGTATTGTCAAAAAACTCAAATATTTTTGCAATTTTAGTTTAACTTAAAAAAACTTATGTAGGAGTATTAGAGTTTAAAAGAGTATACCCATTTTGCCAAATTACAATTAAGTCAATTTTATTTTCCATGATACTGATGTTTAATAGTTAAAGAAGTGTAAAAGTTTATAGCTAATATTTATTTTATACGTAATATTTATTTATATTTGTAAACATTTACAAGTGTAAAATAATAAAATTAATATTGTAACAGTTGTTTTGATAATTTTTTAAAAATGCATATTCACCTCCCTAAAGCCTAGAAGCCCACTATAAACAAGAAGGTTGAGAAACCAGTTAAGTGCTGCACTTCCAGGGTCATTGCGAATTTAAACTATGTATTTATCACCTATTAAGACAGCACTCTAACACTGCAACACTACACATTTTAAAAACATGTTGTATTAGCATAACAAGAAAGCATGCAGTGCATAAAGACTTTTTTTAAAAATTACTAATTCCAAGTTTTTATCTAATATAAAAAAGTCTAATAATAATGCTATAAACAACCCAAAAACAATGCTTTAATAATAAAAATTTAAAAACATAAGTAATAAATAATATACCAACAACAATGTCCAAAGAAATCCATCTTCCTCCATTTTATCTAAAAAAAAATTATTATTTTGTAAACTATATACAAAAAATAAGCAAACACAATAAGAACAACAGAGTGGTTTATCATAAGTCTAACAAACTACTTAGGTCATTAGAAAAGTTCATAGAACTTGATCTATAAAGTTACAATAAGACAGGAAATATTTAAATACTTATATACCATTTTAAACTGTATTTAATTATAGACATTTTAAGTACTTGTTGGAATATCTTAAATGTGTATTAAAAAAATTATAAGAATTTTATTAAACATGTTTAAAAGAAAAATTTTAAAATGAAAAAAATTGAATATGAAGCATATATTGAAACCTGTGCTCTACTCAGAGTTTCAGCACAAACCATAACCAATAAATTGGCTTTATTTCATGGTGACCAAACACCAAAATATAGTACAATTGCCAAGTGCGCTACTTTATTTAAAAATGGTACAGAGAGTTTTTAAGATGATCCTTGCTAAGGGCATCCTAAAACTACATATACAGCTGAGAATATTGAACGTGTGCAAGCCATTATTGAAAAAAAAACTCATGCAACAAATATAATTGAAGCCCTGACATTGATTAACTGTTTTTATTACAGGGGATGAGTTGCAGTTTTATTTGAGACAAGTCGGCTAACACTAGTTGGGTCGGTGAAGGTTAAAGTCCAAAAAACTATTGTAAGAAGTGACAGATTTGAGCTAAAAAAGATGTTCTACAACTTTTTCATGACAACAGGTGTTGTTCATTTGAGTTATGTTGAAAAGGGAGACATCATTACTAATCAATATTATATAAGAAATTGTTTGAAACCTCTTATATGCAAAATAAATAAGCAAAGACTTAAACAGGCACTTAAAATTTTAAATCTCCCCAAGATAACGCTCAAACTCATATAACTCAAACTGTCACAAACTGTCTTAACCAAGCTGGAATTACAATAATTCACCACCCACCATACTAATCAGACTTAGCTCCATCCAATTACTGGCTATTCAGCTTGATAAAAAAAATCTTGATGACGATACTGATGACGAAAGTAAAAAAAACGGCATAATGAAGCTACTTCAAAGTATAACCAAAGAAGAGTATAAAAAAATGTTTGACAAATGGAAAGAATACAAATTTGTTAAAATAATAATAGAAATTATTTTGAAAATCAAATAAAATAAAATTGAAAAAAACTCTTTTTTTATATATATATATATTCAACAAACTTTCCTAACGACCTATGTGTAATTAATAAACTTTAATCACAAGCCTGAAATAAATTTAATAACTTTTTACAGCTTTCTATTACTCTGAACAGCTTTTGTGTTGTATCAAAAAGTTTAAAATTTTAGTGAAAGATGTTGCATATCGTTTTGATGTAAAACAATTACCTCTTGCTGTTTCTAATTAAAATAATTACCTCTGCTATTTCTAAGTAAATGATACAGCTCAGCATCAAACTCAAAGTGCAAACCTGCTGCTTGTGCCATCTCGTGGGTTATCTAAATTTTAATCAAAAAGTTTGATTAAACTTTAAAATACATTCTTTGTAAAAATATTTTAAAAATGTCTTATTATTAAAAGTATGAATACAGTTGAGTCATTTCGTGTATTGTTTGATTTGAAATCCGATAAAACTCTCATCAAGAAAGGAACTCTACGTGGAAGAACCTGTAATTAAAAAAACAAAAAAAATAAACACATTTATAACCCTATATAATAACAATCAGGAAAAAACGAAATAAGCTATGACATACATCTTTTAACCCATCTGACAGCATCTGTCTAAAAATTAGAAGAATTCCCATTGACGTGGTTCGAGTTATGACATCCTCAATACCTAAATGTAAAAAAAAAAAATTCTTAACATGGTAAAGTATAAAAAACAAATATAAACACAAGGTTAAAGATAAGAAATTATATAATAAATATTTAAAATTGTGAACCTTTAATTTTTTTCACAAGTTCAAACACGTCACACTTTAGAGGATTTTCATAAATTGATACCAAGAGATCTTTGTTATTTATAACTAGTTTCTAAAAGTAAATTATCATGATGAAGAACTCGCACCATGTTATAAAAACTTTATTAAAATCTTATTATAAGGAAGCCAATTGTGATGGTATAAAAAAATTAAATATTACCCTTAAAAAATAGAAAAAATATATAAACTTATTATAAAATGAAAATTATTAAATTATGAACTTAATACTATCAATTAACAAACAAAAAATAAAAATAAATAAATAAATAAAATAAAAACAAAAAACCAGCTTTAAAAGATTTTTCTAAATGCTTAAATTTTTATCCTTTGAATATAGTTAGTTCTAAACATAAACTCCTTTGAATATTAGTTAGTTTTAAACATAAATTCAATTTTACACAATTAAAAGAAAAATAGAAAACAGATGAAATAATTTCATAGCATCTTATCAAAACCTTTTTTCTAGACACATAAAAAAAGTAAACTTTAGTTCAGAAAGGTTACAGACCATATTGCTTACTCATAAATACTTAAACAGGAAGAAGCCTTTGTATGTGTTTATTTCCAAGAAAGTTTTTACAACAACCACAAACAACAACCAAGCTAATTTTCTTTGCTATTCATTGTTTTAACATTTTCTTTATTATTTTAAAGATAAAAACAAATAGAAGAAACAACCTATTTATTCCAATGCCTCACTCTGTGCATCCTAAATAGAACAACAGCAATGTCAAGATATTGCTGAGTGCTATGAAGTATGATGGCAACAGATGGGAGGTTATCAGAGGCTTCAAAATGGTGCCATTCTTCATGTGCCTCAAAAGCAATGTCAAGCCGCTAATAAAACCTCAAAAAGTTAGGCCACCACTACACATCAAATTGAAGCAATATGTCACTGCTCTTAACAAGAAGTTGGTTCTTTTTTTAGTACATCTATGCTCTTTTTGCCATACTGTTTGAAGTTAAGCTAGATCAAGAAAATCATAGAATGTGACTATATCCTGAACAGGACAGGAAGGAACAGGACAGGGAGAGTGGCATAGAATAGTTTTGCTGCAGTTGATTTATCGGCTACATGATTTATCACAAGGCTAAAAACTATGTGGAGTTGGTTCAGATTTTTATAAAAAATTATGCTAAATTGGGATACAGAATGTAACTCAAAGTCTATATGAACTTTGGCATACTCAACACTTATGTCAATAAATTCAAGTAGGACATTGGAGCTTATTCAGAGGGGTAAGGTAAGCGCTTTCATCAAGACATACTGGGCTTTAAAGGCTGTTATCAAATAACAAAAACAATATAGGGGACTACCTTCAGGCCCGCACAGAGACTTGCTGCCCCAGGTTTTTGTATTATCACTGCACAAAAACACTAAACTAGTTCATATATAGAGTGTTTATGTGCAACTATCGCTGCACTTAAACTACTCTTTCTTCTTTCGCAAAGAAGAAAGCCCGCAAAGTGAAATTAGTGTGATCTGACAACTAGTCAATAGAACAAAACAATTAGTCTTTATAATTAACATTTTATTGATGAAATATATAATTCCATTCATTATAAAAAAAAGTTATATATGATGAAATGAAAATACAAATTGTATTTGTATTTTCATTTTATCATATATAACCAAGTTAGCCTTAGCCTAAAATATATATATATATATATATATATATATATATATATATATATATATATATATATATATATATATATATATATATATATATATATATATATATATATATATATATATATATATATATAGATATATATATATATATATACATATATATATATATATATATAGATATATATATATATATATATATATATATATATATATATATTTTATATATATATATATATTTTATATATATACATATATATATATATAAAATATATATATATATATATTTTTTTTGCGAAAACTTTTGACGTGAACGGATGTGCTTTTGTAAACTAAATTAAAAATGGCTAAATTTACCGTTTCTCAAATTAAAGATCTATTAGATATTCATGAGAATACTTTATTGAAAATATTTAACAAGAAGTTTGATAAAATGGAAATCAAACTATTAAATCTTCAAGAAGAAAATTCAAAACTAAAAAAAGAAACTAGTGAATTAAGGAAATCGGCAGAGTTTCTTAGCGAGAAATATGAATCAATTGTTCAAGAACTTTCTGAAATAAAAAAAAAGCCTAACTCAATATCAAGGCAGAATGATATAACAAATGTTGTTGTCAAAGACAAACTTGCTGAGTTGGAAGGCAGAAGCAGAAGAAATAATCTAAGGTGTACAGGAATTGAGGAAGACGAAAATGAAACGTGGGAATTAAGCGAAGAAAAGATTCAAAATGTTTTAAAGTCAAAACTTGGTTTTAAAGGTAATGTTGAAATTGAACGTGCGCACAGGACGGGGAAAAAAAATAGCGAAGGAAAAAAGTATAACAGAACCATAATAGTAATATTTTTAAATTACAAAGACAAAAAAACTGCGTTGGATAACTATGTTCAGTTAAAATTGTGGAACGATTGGCTTTACGTAAACGAAGACTACAGCGAAAGAACTTTGGAATTGCGAAAACAGTTATTTAAAGAAGCAAAAGATCTGAGAACCAAAGGCTAAAGTTGTATATAATAAACTTATAACGCTTGACAATTAAGAAATTCTTTTATATTAGAGTTATTAATTTATCTTAAATTTTTTATTGTTTTTAAATACTAATTCAAATCACTCAAAGAATTTTGATATTTTTCAATTCAATGATTTTATACTCAACAAAGAGTCCGATCAGGATCAAAGTTTTTTTAGCGAAACAGGTGCTTTACAAAGCAACTGCAGCTGTTTCTATAGTTATGAAATAAAAGAATTTCTTGAGCATGATAAATTTAATGCAGTTCATATAAATATAAGAAGTTTAAAAAAAAATTTTGAAAATCTTTGCAATAGTTTTGGGGAAAATTTAACTCTTTTTAGCGTTATATGCATAACTGAAACTTGGTGTAGTTCTAATGACTCAAGTTTAGATAATAAATTTAAAATACCGGGCTATAATTTGATTTCATTAAGACGGAAAACAAATAAACGCAGCGGTGGTTTAATTATTTATGTAAAAGAAAACCTTCAGTATTATATTAGGCATGACATGAGTATTTCTGATGTCAATAAAGAGGTTTTAACAATTGAAATATTGAACAATAAAACTAAAAACATTGTGATTAGCTGTTGTTATTGCCCACCTACAGGCGAAATTAAAACTTTTAGTACATTTTTACAAGATGATGTTATAAATAAAAGCAACCATGAAAAAAAAATTACTTTACATATTAGGTGATCTGAATTTAAATTGCTTTGAGTATCATGTCAAAAAAGACATTAATGGGTTTTATAATGGCCTATTTGAAAATGGAGCAGTTCCTCTAATAAACAAACCAACTAGAATTACTCAAACAACAACTTCCTTAATTGATAACATTATAACCAACGATATTTTTAATAATTCACTTAAAAAAGGCATTATTAAAAGTGATATATCTGATCACTTCCCTATATTTTTTCAATTGATATTTATGCAAAAATTATATGCTATAAAAAAAAATCATTTAAAAAACAAATTTTTCATAATAAAAACCTAGAATCTTTTAAATATCAACTATCGTTAATTAATTGGGACATTATAAACTTTTCTGAAGACATTAATTTAATATACAAATCCTTTTTTAAAATTTTTTATGAAATTTATGACATCAATTTTGTCGAAGTAGAAGTAAATTACAAATATAAAAAAATTGTATTGCCATGGATTACTAAAGGTATTCTAAAATCTTCAAAAATTAAGCTAAAACTTTATATTAAATATTAAAAATCAAAAACAACTGAGAATAAGACTATTTATAAAAATTACGTAAGATTATTTGAACGCCTAAGGAAAAATTAAAAAAAAATATATTTAACTAATTTACTTGAAAAATACAAATTAAACTCAAAACGCACTTGGCAACTAATGAACAAAATTACTGGTAACACTAAAAAATTTTTGCAATCTTTGCCCTCAGTTATTAAAGTAGATGATAATCTTCTTCTTGATCAAAAATCAATTGCTTCTGAATTTAATAAACATTTTGTATCTGTAGGACCAAACCTAGCCGAAAAAATTCCGAACCCTAAAAAATTATTAAAAGCAACATATGACCCTCTAAACTCGTATCTAAATTCTTTTGATTTGTCTTTTGAAGAGTTTGAAAGTGCTTTTAAATTGTTAAAGTCAAATAAAGCAGTTGGTCCTGATGATGTCAACAGAAATATCATTATAAGCTGTTTTGACATTTTAAAAGACATACTTTTCCAAATTTTTAAATGCTCCATTAATCAGGGAGTTTTTCCTGATGATTTAAAAATAGCAAAAATTATTCCTATATTTAAAGAAGGAGAAAAAACTAATGTAAAACACTATCGCCCAATTTTATTAAAGCCTCTTTTATTTGAAATGAAAGTTTTTAATATATATGAGATTAATATTTTTAATATTCTTTGTTTTATGTTTAAATGTAAAACCAACTCATCCCCAATTTCTTTCCATAATTTGTATTCATCAAAAGATAAAAATAAATACATTTTACGCAATAATAATTTTATTAAGCAGCCCAATTTTCAAACAAATCTTTTTAAATTTTGTATTGATTATCGCGGACCATTCTTATGAAATAAAATAGTTTTAAAAAATTTTACTGAGAATTTTATTAATCAAAGTAACTACTTTTCTTTTAAACAAAAGCTTAAAGAACTCATTTTTACAATCGATGATTTAACAATATACTTCTGATATTTTTTGTGATCTTTATTTTTACCATTTATTTAAACATAAACTTATAAAAAGTATATGTGTATCCTTAACAACTATAACTTACATATATAATAGATATAACGCATCTTGTATTTATTATGGATTATTTTAAGTTTCTTACTTTTGTTAACTTATTTTTATTTTTTAACCTTGTAATTATCTTTTAAATTTTACCACGAACATTTCTTAGCGGTACTCGACGACAAGACCGTATGGTCTTCTACGAGTCCCCGTGTTCTTTTATTTTCTAATAACAACCATTATATTTATATATAAATTTATTATTATATATTTGTATTTGAAATATTGTAACGAAATGCTTATTTTACATGTAATAAAAGAACAAAAATATATATATATATATATATATATATATATATATATATATATATATATATATATATATATATATATATATATATAACTATATATACAAAAAAAAACCTTTTCTTTTGAACTTTATTGAATCCATATTGTAATAAGAGTCTTTTAGATTCTGTTTTAAATTTCCAAGGAATAGTGCTCTTTATGATTGTTAAAAATTTTAATAAAATCTTTTATCTGCCCCATTTGTCTGTGTGCCTTGGTAAAATGTACCAGGTGACCCACCCCTCTAGGCGGCCCTGACTATATTTGCAGGCAACTTTGTGAAAGTGATTTACACTACACATTCAAATCTAGAAAATCTAATCATTTCTTAAGCTTTGAGTAATTTTTTTATTCTAATATTTTTAATATTCTTTATTCAATATGCAACTGTAGTTTTTTACCAGACTGAATGAACAAAATTTTCTTATTAAGTGTCAATTGAAAACTAATTGTGCTCAATGCAGTCATTTTTTCACAATTATCAGATATAAACAATTGAAATATAGCACTTGAGAAACAAGGAAAAAATGGCGGTACATAGTGGTTTTAGTCCAACTATTAGTTCAACATATCATTATTAGTTTAGTTTTATTTAAAAGTATTATTATCAAGCCAACTCAGGAAATGCATGAAAAAAAATGCACATTAAAAAATATAAAATTACGATAAAATTATTTTACATTATATTTAAATGTGAGATAAAGATTATATAAATAGATTAGATTAAGAGAAGCAACATTATGACAATGTGATAATGGTTGGAGGTTGGCTGCAAGATATGTTCCAACAGATAATTTATAACATTTAGTAATATCTTCTTAAGTCAAACACTTTTTAAAAATTTTTTTTTTAAAAACTAATAACTTTTTAAAAAAATTTTTTTTAATAATTTTTAATAATTTAAAAAAAAATTTTTTTTTTTTTATATGTATTTTAGTTTTTTCAGCAATTTTTTAAAACATTTAATATTTTGAAACATGCAAACAGGTCAAGTTGTCAAAACCAAATGATTAATGCATGAACAGGTAAGGTGTGTGAGCACAAATGCTCACACACCAAATTTAAAAAAAAGATGTTTTTTACATGCATATATATATATATATATATATATATATATATATATATATATATATATATATATATATATATATATATATATATATATATATATATATATATATATATATATATATATATATATACATACATACATACATACATATATAACATAAATTTTTTATAGTCATAGTAATAATGTTACTAAACAAAGTAATAAGTATTTTGTACAAAAATAAAAAAAATATATTTTAATCCATATGCCAAATCAATTATTTTATTGTTGTTTTGATGCCAATTGTTGCCAAATCAATTAAATTTGTTGTTTTTCTCAATACTATCTGCAAAATGGAAGGCTTAAGCTTAAAATGCAAAATGCATACAATACCGTTTCTCAAATATACCTAAACTCAAAAAAGCATTCAATACCCTTTCTGTAGAAAAACTAAAATATGTGATTGCATTAAAATGGGTTATGAAAAATCTGAATTAAAATAAATGAAAAATCTGAATTAAAATAAATGAAAAATAAATTAAAATAAATGAAAAATTTCACCTTTAGTTCTTCAACTTCTAAAATAACTTTTTGAACTAATTTACGTGAGAAATGTCGGACTCCATATGCTCCCAGCAACTCTGATAATGCTCGCATTTCTATAAATGACTCATTTACAATAATCACAACAAATGAAAAAACAAAAACAAAAAATAAACAAAAAAACAAACAAAAAAAACAACAACAACAAACACAGACATTTAAAAAAAAAAAGAAACTTGCCTGTCATGTCAGTGTAGTCTGCGATGGGTGGATAACTTGCTTTTGTTCTACTTATAAAAGACTCTCTAACTGGAGAATATATAACTCCACCATTTAAGCAAATACGCTTTAAAACTATTTCGTTGTACCTATATAAAAAATATATATATATAGTGTTAATATACAGTATGCTACTAGTCTTATACTTAATTCCCCATTTAAGTGTAAATATATATACACAGTTGTGGACAAAAATCAGCATACAAAGTCAAAGTTTGCTGGCCACCAAACTTACACTTAATTACCAAACAGAACCTCACACAGTTAGCCTTATCTAAATTTAGGTTTTTTAAATTATGTCCAAGTCAAGGTTGATGGTTTCTGTTGAGTATAGTTTACTTACCACTATGTGAATAGTCTACCATATCAAAAAACTCCTATTAAGTAATTATGGCAGTTTCAAGATTTTTTTGCGCATTTTTGAACTTTTACAATTATCTTTAATTCGCCATGTTTTCTGCCACATATTTAATCACAAAAAACAATCATAGAACAAATTTTGTTTTTGAAAAATGTTAAGCATTGGAAAATTCCATCTTCAGACTATTTTAAATCATCAAAAGAACAGTGAAAAAGTATGCCTTTTCTGTGGTCACAAATTTCAGATGAGAATGAACAGCCAAAGCCACATAATTTCTAAATTTCAAAGCTGTTTTTTGGATTATAATATTGCTGACCGATATCCTAAGGGATGACCAATATCCTAGTGTCCAAGGTTGGTATACTTAATGATTTTTAACTAAATAAATATATATAAAAAGTATATATGTTACAAACGTAAAACCATTTACTTAACTGAAAAATTTGATAACAATACATTATCTAATAATTTCATTGGAAATTTGACACTAGAGTTGCTTTTGCATTAGCTACCATAAAATGGCCCAACTTATAAAAGTGTAAGGCTTAAAAAACTAGTTCAACTCAAAGAAATAAGATTTGATAAATGAATCAAACCACATTTTGCATGGTATTAGTATATCTTTATCTATTTAAGGTTTAGGGGTATAGTTGAAAGAACAGATATTGTTGAACTCAGGCAGAAAATTAAGTTTGACATTGACTGGTTAAAGGTGACTATTCCAGCTAAAACACGAAATGGGTAAAACATTATTTTATTTTTACATCTGTTGTAAAGAAATATAAAATTATAAAAATTTTTATAATCTCAGGAAACTAAAAACTTGCAATATGCAAAATCGAAAGAAAGCAGAGGATGACCAAGAAAAAATCTGGCATTAAGAATTCTAAAATTGCAATTATTATTAGCGGCGTAGTTCTTGCATGAGTAAAATTAAATGCTCAAGCAGAAAATGTATTTATAACTTTGAATACTTGGCTGTGAAAGGTTATATAACATGTTCTATAGAAAATAAGTTTTATGTAAATTAATTTTTTTAGTAACAACATATCAGCTGCATCAGGATATCAAGGTATTAAAAAAGCCTTACTATTTTGTGTCACTGAAAGAGAGATGAGAGAAAGAAATGTTAAGAGCTTATTCTTCCAAATTAATTTTAAAATGATGATTTTAATTTAAAAAAACCTTTGTAGCCTTTTGAACCTGTGATCTTTTCAACAATGTAAAGTTGTTGAAAACATTTTTCCATCAGTCTCCATAGTTTTGTAGCTTATTTAGATGTCAAGGAACAAATGGCTTTTCACATTATTAAAGAAAAGTTATGTAGTGAAAGTGGTGACACCATTTTATTTAAGACAGGAGGTAGTAAACTAAAATTATCTATTGAATCTGAAAATACTACAAAAACAATCAATTTTACTCACAAAAATCTTCTTTGTATTTAGAATTCTCTTTCCTTAAGTAATCATCAAATGATAAAACTTGCTAATATGATAAAGTAAAATCACAAAGACACTGTAGAACCTGAAAGATTGTGTGTGTCTCTGATTTGAATAGTTATATTCTCCCACTATTTACGGAAGAAAATACTTTATCTGAATTTAAAGACAAAGATAAAACTTTGGAATATAAGAATATTACGGTTGAGTGCTGTAATGATGTAACTCTTTTTGTAAAACTACTCCTGGATCTTAAATGTGTAGATTCTAAAATTCAGTTGTTTAAAATTGCTGTTGGATTGGGAGGAAGTGGTTTTATTAAATTTTGCCTAAATATAGTTGATCTCAATGAAATTTTTGAAAGTTACAGAAAAGTTGATGTAAATTATCTTATAACAAGACCCGCAACAACTTGCAGATCTTCATATAAAGATAGTCTAATAAAAAAATTCTTCAGTAAATGCTTCATTTCTTCTTTTCGCAGCTCCGTAGATCCAAGAAAGATATTTGAACTTTAAAATATGATTTGAAAAACTAAACCTTGAAAAAGTTGAGCATTGGGGTATGCAACATCAGCATATTGGGGTATGCGACATAATTTGGGAGCATATTGGGGTATGCGACATAAAACTTAAAAAGTTAAATTCTGACAGGGATTTCTCCAAGTAGTAGTTCAATTCATCCCTGTTATGTATGTGAGTGGGATAGAAGTGAAACCTGGACAACTACTTCTACAGAACATTCAAGAGTTGTCAAGAAAACTATAAAATTATCACTTTTCTGTTGGCACATTTTGATAGCAGCCTTATTATTGACCTTTTTTTTTTTTTTTTTTTAATTCACCTCCTCAAGACCACGAAGGCCACGACAGACGAGGAGGCTACTTAATAGTGGTTATAACCCTCTCTCAACTCTATAACTCCGAAACACGAACCTTGACGAACAAGACCGCTGTGCGGAGAAACAAGTTGAGCGCGGTACTACCAGGGACATGGTGGGGATCGAACTCAGAACCTCTCGCTTATTAAGCGAGTGTTTTACCACTACACCACTACCGCATTTTTGGACAAATGGTCTCTACTTCAAAAAATGCCTGAAATTTTAATAAAGTTTTTTCTTTTTTTTACCATTGAAACTTAATTTTAGGTGTTTGAGGTAAGTTATAACAACTTCAACTCGTTTAGTTTATGATTATACTGCACAAATATGTGAAATGTGTGCTTTTACTCACTTCACACCATAATATTGATACTGAAATTTTAACTCCTTTAGCCTAAACCTTATACTTTTCAAAAGGTCAACATAGGGATTGATCCTTTAAAAGGTGGATACCAGAATCAAGTATCCCATAATTAAGCATGTCATGAAGGCATGCGATTGCAATAAGTTATATGACCACGGAATAATATTTTGACAACTTGACCAAAACTATTACAAAATTTTGAAAATTTAAACACTTTGAAAAAGTTGAAAAAATTAGCTAAACTAAACAAAAGACTTTTAACGACAATTGGTGTGAAAAAACTAGCATCTGCTAAGGTTGCATCTCTTTATTGAGGCCGGCACTTTCTTATTCTGGATTCTATTCTATATCTCTATAAATCTCAAATCCGGCCTTGTATAGAATACCATTGTCATATCTGGGGTGGATCTTCTAATAATACCCTTTCTCTTTTAGACAAGGTGCAAAAATGCATTGTAAACATAGTTGGACCCGCTCTTGCAGCCAACCTCCAACCATTATCACATTGTCATAATGTTGCTTCTCTTTCTTTTTTCTATAAATACTATAATGGGCACTACTCTAAAGAGCTAGCGTCTCTTGTGCCATCTACATCTAAAATTCATTCTTATGTTACATCTACCATCTACAATTCATTCTCATGTTACTCGTCATTCAATTAAGTCTCATCATTTTTCTGTTACTGTTCCTAAATGCTCCAAAAACTCTTATTCCTCTAGTTTTTTCCTTTAACATCAGTTCTTTGCAATTCGCTTCTTTGATCTTACCTTCCTGATTCATATAATTTGAAATCTTCTAAGTAATCTGTCAATCGTTATCTTGCTCTACAATCTTCATCTTTCTCTTTGATAACTTCCAACTCTAATATTGGTTACTTGCAGCCTTATTGAGGGCAAAGATGTTTAAAAAAGGCAGTTTGGAATAAATGTCATGACATTGAAGAGGTTATACAGAAAAAACATAACATCTCTCCCAGAGTACAAGGTACAGCAAGTTTTTTCAACTAATCAGGAAATAGAACTTGGTATCTTTTTGAAGAACATGTCAAAGATGTATTACGGTCTAACTATGATGCAACTGCAGAAATTGGCATCTTATGCTGCACCAAATAAGATACCTTATCCCCCCAAATGCAATAAAACCAAGCCGAAACTGGTACAGAAGTTTTCTTGATAGAAACTCTAGACTGGCATTGAGAACACCAGAATCCACAAGCTTGACACAAAGCACAACATTCAATTCTCACACAGTAAATTTTTTACTAAATTAAGAAATGTTTATACAGGGTACAAGTTTTTTCCCAAACGTATATGGAAAATTGACAAAACTGGCCTTCTACACAAGCCTGTTACAATTACTACTGTGAGAGGGTTAAAGCAGGTAGGAAAAATTACATCCGCGGAATGAGGCAAACTGATCACGATGTGTGCTTGCATAAATTCTACCGCTGGTCTCATGCCTGATTTTATGATATATTTTAGAAAAAACTGGCAGGGCCGGTTTCTAAGCCATGAACCTCCTAGCAGCAATAGAATAACATACCTCAGTGTATGGATGACCTGTTCTAGCTTGTTCTAAAAGGTATCACTTGATTCTACTGAATTTTTTATATATGTAATTAACCATTATACCTTATATGAGATAGAGTAGTCCCAATCCAGAATTCCCAAAAAGTACTGCAATCCATCAAGCCTTTGGCCCCTCTACCCTCCATCCTGTTTCATGGTTCCTTTAGTGTACATTTGTTTTAATAGCTTACCAATTGTTTTTCTCGCATTTCATCACCATCTGAAGCTCTCAAAATAAACTTTGACTCATCCAAACATAATAATTGTCTTCACTGTACTACTGTGAGCCTTATGAACTTTAAACATACTTTTCGGTCCTTTTTTTTTTTTCTGCACAGTAACATTAAAACCCTGCATTATTCAAAATTTGCTGTATAGTATTTAAAATATTGATTTTCAATTCACAAATTGTATCACCAACCCACGGAATTAGGAAAAATGAAGTTGGCAATAATTTGCCAAGAATATAGAAACAAGGTTAGCAGTTTTTTGCCAACCTTAAACAATTCAATTCTAACAGTTTCTTTGGTTTTATATTTGGAACTAATTGACTTATAATAGATTTTGAAATTTTATAATTTTTACACAAAATAACTCAATGTAGTTTCATCATTATTTTCATCAATGACTTTTTTTGGACAACACTATTACATTTGTTACATGTCTTTTTTTAGATACAAGTTTATTTGATGTCTCTACTGAACTAGATTATTAGTGTTTTAGGTAACACAAAAGACTCATTGGACCCCGTTATGCAATAGGAAACCAAACAACATTTACAATACAACATTTACAATACAACATTTGCAACACAAATATTACCAAATACATTGACAGCCTCTTGCTAATATGATTATAAGTAGAATATTATTATAGATATTTATTTTTTCTCATTTTTTTAAAAAATGTTGATTGGTTCCCTATTACAGGGTTACATTATAAAAGTATTATGTCTTCTTTAAAACCAAGATTCAAAAGGAATAGGGAGATGAGTCATGAAATGCCACTTTACAGCAAAGCAATATAAAATTGGTGCAAATGCAACTTTTGTGATAAGTACAATTTCAAGCTTTGTATAATGAATCAAGAGCTCATTTTTAGAGGGGATAATTAATATTTAAACTTTTTCCCTTGATACTTAATAATATTATTATTTGAAAGCCGTGTATAACTCATTTTCGTTATTTTTGACTCATCTCCCTTTTCCTTTTGCATACAGAATTTAAGATTATTCTGCAGTGCTGCTCAAAAATTTGTTGGTATATGATAAAAAAAAAATAAAAAAAATAAAATAGAGTCATGTAATGAGGAAAAACAAGAAAACCTTTTCATTTATTAGCAAATATATATACACACACTGTGTGTGTGTGTGTGTATATATATATATATATATATATATATATATATATATATATATATATATATATATATATATATATATATATATATATATATATATATATATATATATATATATATATATATATATATATATATATATATATATATATATATATAGGGAGATTCTAAAAACAACTTTTGAAAATGTCAACTGGCACACCTAAAATGCATTCTGTATAATAAAATAATGCTGAATTGATAAAATTTTTTATAAGTATTTTTAGGGGCTGCTACTACAAGACGCTTGAACATCAAACATGTCCCTAATATTAAATAAAAAAAAGTTTTTCAAAAGTATGTTAAGTTGGGTCTCAAACAAAGCAAAATTATACAAAAAATTTCAAAAATATTCATCATTTTATAAAAAACATTAAAAAAAAAAATTATAATCAAAAAACCTTGTTAAATTCCTTTTTATTTTGTTAGTTAAAAGATGTCATTTTCTGTTCACTAAAATCTATAATAACAATTTATGTAAAAAATGATCCATATTTTTGAAATTTTTATATAAATTTGCTTCATTTGAGACTCAAAATGACATGACTATATATATATATATATATATATATATATATATATATATATATATATATATATATATATATATATATATATATATATATATATATATATATATATATATATATATATATATATATATATATATATATATATAATGTATGTATACTTATAACTTACCAAAATGTGTACGTACTGGTGAGGGTTGGTCCACCAGTATTATCACAATTTTGTGTTTGCTGTAACAGTGTTGCATTAAAAATTCTGCCCATATCTAAATTAACAAATTCTTCTAAGCGATGCAAGGTAGTAATATATGAACGAATATCTGACAAAAGTGCAGAGGGACGCGCAATCTCTTGAGTAGCCTCATTGTAATTTAATAGACGAAAAATTGTTTTTGAAAAAAATTCTTCTAATTGCGAAACTAGATATTCTTTTGGAGAAAATATATGTTCCCAAACATGAATGTCTTTACAATGTGTTATTGCCAAAAGTAAATCAATCTAAAAGCGTTTGTAAATAAAAAATAAAAATAAGAATATATATATATATATATATATATATATATATATATATATATATAAACACGCACATACATAACAGGGTTTTTAAAAGTGTGGGACACCAACCTGCCTACATACTATTAAGTATTTATAATATTATAAAACTCATATTTGTTATTTTATAATAAATTATTGTTTATTTAGTAAAAAGCTATGAAAAACTCTTACTTCCATAGTCATTTTACATTAAAGAAGCAACACGAATTAACTTAAAAGTAGGGATGTACCGAAGCTGAAATTTTGCCGAAGCCGAAGCTTCGGCACTATATATGCTTAAAATTTAATCAGCATTCAGCAGGGGTGTAAAACAAAAAAGGTACCAAACTAAGGTCCTTGACTAATAATATAGAAAAATTGTATAAAAATGAGGACGCCAGTCAGGGTTGCTGTTCCAGGCAGGGCAAAAGCTCTCAGCACCCCTGTTTAAAAGTTTCTCATTATGTCGTTTCTGATACTTGACCGCATTGAGCGTTTTTTTTTTAAACTTAAGCTTTTTTGAAACATTCTCCCCAAATTTTCCTACTTCTAGTTCTACTTTTTCTGTGTGCAAACCATATTAATGTTATATAGCATTTCTTCATGTGCTGTATATTTTATTTTTATTTTTAATGCACCTTTTGTTAATAGAAGTGGAGAAAAATCTCTGAACATTACTAGAGTAAATTTATCTTTTGCACTTGATCACTCTTTCTTTAAATAAACACTCTTAGCTGATCTAGTTGTATCTACAACATAAAAAATCTTAGAAACACACTTTATCTTTTTATTGCTATTTATTTCAATATCTTTTTTTTACTTCTCTGTATTCTTTAAACGAACAATTTCTAAACTAAAAAAAACCCAAGTTAAGACCATTTTGGATTCCACTACAACTGTTGTGAACCTGCTGCTAAAAAAAAGTACAAATGATAGATTTCTCTCTAACTTCTTTTTTACACACTTTTAAGTATTTTTTTTTTATTATTTTTAACTTAACACTACATAACATTTTCTATAGCTTTTTTTAATCTTTTATACTTTGAAATCTTAGTATCCATTCTTCTTCTGCCTCTATAATGGATAAATCTGCATCAGTATCTGAAATCAAATATTAACTATCTGTGATAAAAACTTCCAAAGTAATCTAACAACTCTGTAGAGCGAGCTTTAAATAAAATAATAAATAGAATACTTTATAAATTTTTTATTTATAATTATATTATTATTTACTTTATATCTATAAATAAACAGGGACTGAGCAGGCTGATATTTATTTGATTTAAATTGTTTATTTAATTTAAATAAATTTTGATGATAAATATAAGAGCTCAAAGTAATCAAAGCTTCAACCTTTAATTTATTTTAAATAAAATTTAAAAGTCTTCATAATATCGTAAGAAGAAACCAGAATATTGGTTTACATGTTTAATATATAAATTCCATTTAGAAGTATTCATAATATTAATAAAAGAGCAAGGATAGTTATTATCATTGTTTTTCTTTTTCTTTTAATTTATCTAGTTTTTGTTGGCTTTTTTTTTCTTTTTTTATTCTCCTCGTTTATATTTCATTTGCTTTTCTTTCTTTTTTGTTGTTGAGAACTTTTTGTTTTTTATGTGTCACTCCATTGACTATTTTGTATCTATATAAGTGACACCTAACCAATTTCTGTAAATTTACGATGAAATTTTGTAAATTTTTATTAATATGGTTAAATAAAATTTAAAAAAATTAAACATACACACAATTTAAAATAAAAGCAACGTATCTTTAATCTTCTTCAAAGAGAGATTACTAAGGTTTATCGGTCAAATGTTGAAACCAAATTTTGTTCTATTTGCGGTAATCCCACACAATAATTAATATGAATTCGTTACATAATACAAATAAAGGTTTTAAAAACTTTTAATTTGTTTTAAATTATAAGGTTTTTATTCTGCATAGAAATGCTGCAATTCATCTAAAGTCACACTTGGAAGCTTTCAAAGTGTATGAGGACCTTCCCTAATTTTTTTTTTTTTTTCAAAATATTTTTACTTGTTTATTATTATCCCCTCCATAACAAGACACTTGGGAGTAAATAATACTAAGTATATGGTATAGACTCCAACTTTAACTCTGTAGTCCTAAATTTATAACTTTATTAGACACTGGCAATTAGCTTATTTTTATAACTTGTCCCACAGTAGCTTATAACTTAAATTACTTAAAATTTTTTGCCGAAGCCAAAGGTTCGGCAAAAAATTGACCTGGCTTCGGCCGAACCGAAGCTTCGGCAAAATTGCCGAAGCTTCGGCACGCCGAAGCCGAAGCTTCGGTACATCCCTATTTAAAAGTGAATAACACATGCATCTCAATCAAAATCAGTTTTCAATTTTACATACTTCTCTACTGTAACTACTTCTCTACTGCATTTTAAATTTTGTTTTTGATAAATGCTTAATGAATTTACTTTTTAAAGTACAGTATGTTAAGTATTTTGAAAGTATTGACAGATGTTATTTAACTGTTTTAACTCATCTACTTGCTTGATAACACAAATTTTTATTTAATACATAAAGATGTTTATAAATATATGCATTCAAATTCAGCTTGTTTTAAATAGGTTGTCGCAAAAAAAAAATCAAAAAAGTTTTGTTTTTAGCATTATTAAAAATATTTTTTGTCAAAACCATTAAATAATAATTGAATGCATATTTTTTTGAATTTAAATAATTTATTAAACTTCAAATTGAATTATTTTTGGTTAAGTTTTATAATATTATGTAACACTTGTCACTTCTAAAGCAACAATTACTGAAATATATTTTGGTTATTTACAATTTGCCTTATCTTGACTGTCATTGTAATTGACTATCAGTCAATTTCAATTATATAAATATAAAGAAATGAAAAAAAAATTAAAAAGCACAAAGAAAACAAAAGCAATAATAAAGTTTCTTTTAATTTGTATATTTTTTTAATTTTTATAAACGCATATATAAACTTGCATATATCAAAAATGAATTTAATACCTGACTATGATATTTAGTATCAACCGGTTTTTGGTTTTCTACAGTTTTCCTGCGACTTTCTTGCCCAGGTTTTGGTGGGATTGGACGAGGGCGTTCCTTCTTTGACTTAGAATCTTCAAGTAATGTCACATAATGTACAGCATTACCCGGATCTAACTAAAAATTTCAATCATCTTTAAAAAATCAAACTTTACTAATGATTTGTATCATTTTTTTGTTACTGATATTTTTCTGCTAAAAAAACACAAACTTTTGTATAAAAATGCATTAAAAAAAAAATTAAATTGCAAGTCAACAACACAGCATCAGAGTGTAATGCCAGTTTTTTAGGAATATTATTACACATGACTTTCTTTGTATACAGTGTGATTGGGTATATGCATTTATATACTCAATTATAAGGTTGAGTGAGAGTTGCAACAGCATTAGGAGAAAACAAAAATAAAAGAGCACTGTATTTTTCTTTAATTAACTTCTCTTTACTCAATTCCTTGGCATTTGGATGCAAGTATATGAAAAAAGACATAAACAACAAAAATTTTCACTTCAATTATAACACTTCAATTATACATAATTCAGTGATTTAAAGTAATAAATGGCTTCAATATTGTATATTGGTGCAATGAAAACTTATTTTCTTTTCGAGAAAATAAAAATAACAATCTAAATCAAGGTTGGACATGTTATTAGAAATTGAAAATTTTGAAGCAACACATCTAAAGTGATGAAAAAACAATTTTATTCTCAATTAAGTTTCTTTAAATAAATTTTACATTTTTATATAAGCCGCTAAAACCAGAATTGGTTACACAAACTCTTACTTGTTGCAGCATAAATACTACTACTATAACTACTACTTACTAAAATTTATATATATAAAAAAAACATGCTATAAAAGTATTACTTTTGATATAAACTTAAAGCAAACCAATGCTTTTTTTAATGAAAGATCACAACAAAGTTCTCTGGTAAGTAACTAATGCTCCAATTAACAGGTTGAAATAATATTATTCCAAAATAGTTCACCTGTGTGGATTAAAAACAAAGTTTTGATTAAAAAGGGAGGTTTGTCAATATCAAAGTAATTTAAGATGTTCAATATTTTTTAACATTTAAATTTTAATTAGTTTGTTTAAATTTTTATATAATATAATTAAATTTTTATAAACCTATTAATTAAAGATAAGAAAATTTGAACTTGATAAGATTTTAGTAACTTATTATCCCCTGATGCTTTACAGTGTATAAAGACGTTTTTAAAAATTACTGAAAAAAAGAAAAAATAAACAATTTGACAAAGAATGCTTTTTATTAACAACTGAAATTATTAAAAAAATAAGAACTTTAATCAAGTATATAAAAGACAGCCATTACTTTTACCGCGAAATAAAACTAAAAGTGTGTAAAAAATGAAGATATAGCCTGTATCATAATTTAAAAAAGATAATTTAAAAAAGATAATTTTTAAAATTTTATTTAAAGACATTTTATTTTTTAAATTCAAGATTATATATAGTCATCATCAGTCAGGGGTGTACTCTCATGGTTGTTAGGTGATATGGGACGACTCCAAGGGCAACTGAAATTTAAAAAAATGTCTGTCAGTAGCCTGGCAGGACAACCAGGCAGTTTATTATTTACAAAAGTGTGATTATTAATAAAACTTTATTTTGATCTATAAAGATTTTATTAATTGCGATTATTTAAAAGTAAACATTAAAAAGCATTTAAAGTAGTATACACTTTGTTTAACAATAAGTACACTATGGCGCATTACATAATTTTACCAAGCCGAATAAAAAAAAGCCGACACGCGATTTAATATTTTGAAGTGTGACTGTACTAATTTTTTAAACATTGTTGTTGTATTTTAAAGCACGCTTCTTCTCAATTTACCAAGCCTAATAAAAAAAAGCCGACACCGAATTTAATATTTCGAAGTGTGACTACTAATTTTTTAAACATTTTTGTTGCATTTTAAAGCACGCTTCTTCTCAATTTAAAATGAGTTTTAAAATTACATTTTCAAATGCTATTATATCATTTTTTAAACCTTATAGTTGCATTTTAAATCACGTGAATGGGCAGTTGAATCATTAATAACACTGATAACATCTCTTTTATTTTTCGTTAGTAAAATAAATTTTTATTTAACTTTGTCAAACAAAATTAACAAAATAAAAAACATTAAGATGCACATGAAAAATTATTATTAGAACGCAATTAATGATGCAAGTGGAAATTCTTTTTTTTCTGAAAAAAAATTCTTAGTATAATGAAAAATGTTAAAAACATAAAAAACATGTTTTAAACATCCAACTAAATTAAATTTGATTGAAGATTGAGAGAGAATAGTAGAATATTTTCTATATAAAAAACGCTTCTTTGTAGTTTTGTCTTTCAACATTTTTGCTTTATGTAATGAACCTTTGTTATAATTGACAAAAATAAACAATACAATACAGATATTGACAATAAAAATGATAACACATCTTTAATTAATTTAATTAATAAATTAATTTACTTTTAAATAAACCATTTTTTATTAGATGTATTTTAGTATTCAGAAAAATTTTTTTTCTTCAGTATTTTCATTGGAGAAAAAATACAACAAAAAAAACTTTTACACTGGACTACTGATTATCATAGTGGACAACTTAAATTGAGAAATCAAAAGTTTCAGAAAAAAACCAGAGGGTATATCTCTGTCAGTTTAAATATATTAAAATACATTTGTTAAAAACGGTATAAAATATAGTATAAAATTGTAAAAATAAACATAATAAAAGCAAAAATTGATAACAAACTAAAAATGCAAAAAAGTTATTAAAAATCATTTTAACAAATGTCAAATATAACAAAAGAACATTTTAAAATATACCAGAGTCATTTTAACATGATTAACTTGTTTATTCGTATTGGGTTTTTTCCATTCTATATGAATACTTTCTTTAATTTTTAATTTCATTTTGTTATTGGCACATTATAAAGTTGAACCATTTTGTTCCATGCTTGGGGCAAAATGGGGTACTTATGTAATAATGAATAAAGTAGAGTTAAATAATGTAGACCTAAAACCTATAAAAATTTATAGGCTAAATATAATTTATATCAAGTCATAGGTCTAAAATAATATGTAATAGTACTAGTTAGAAGGTCAATAATAATATATAAAAGCTACTATAATTATGTAGGTTTGTGTCAGTTTAATTGAATAAAACTACAATTAAACTAGAAGCATTATAAATGTATAATTACATGGTTTAAAAGAATTTCAAAGTCTAGGAAAAATTTTGAAGAGGCCTATTTTGATTTTAAATTCATATTTAAACTACCTATTTTTTTAGCTTTTTATAAAACTATAAAATTTTAATCTTTTTACCAAACTATAAATTTTTCCTTACTTAATCAGTGATAAAATCAAAGGGTTAAAGAAATTGTTGACGCACAATTTAAAAATAAATAGTTACATTCATAAACCTTGAAAAAAATATTTATATAGTGATTTTTAACTAAAAAAATAAAAAATGCTATAAGAGTTAAAGCTTTTATATATTATGGAGAACTTCATTTAATTCAGCAACTTTAGTCTTATGATAAATTTTGAATGAGTTGCTAAAATTGTTACTATAAAGATAAAAATAATTTTTAATTGATTTCTATTGATTTACTGAGTATTATTTTTAAAAGAAGCAAGATATTCCAAGATAGGAATCTAAGTATGTATAAAAAAATTATAGTATCTAAGTTTGTATAAAAAACTTAGGTTTTTTATACAAACTTACAAAAGTTTGTATAAAAAACCTTTTTTATGTAAACTTTAGTATGGGTGAGTTGCCAAAATTGGAACATCTAAGAAATAAATTTTTTTTTAAAAACAAAGTAAGGATATTGTATGCCATATTGTATATATATATATATATATATATATATATATATATATATATATATATATATATATATATATATATATATATATATATATATATATATATATATATATATATATATATATATATATATATATATTATATATATATATATATATATACAGTGTCGGATGTAGCATTTATTGATGTTTGAGATACCAAACTTCCAGACTTGGAGCAAAATTCAAAAACTTTTATGTTTATTTATTTATTTATTCTTTTTATCACCCAAAATTACATGTAAAAAATACAGAGGTCATAAAACTAATAGTTATACTTATATCAAATAACAATGCTTTGCAAAAAATTGCACCGATTTAAGCCTGGGAACAAAAAAGCCTTAAAATTTTAGCTACACCTGCTCCAAACGTGAGAGCAACAAGGTGATAAAATAATTTTTATATTATTCTTAACTAAATCTATATTTATTGATAAATATTAAAATTCACACAATAATCTTTTGGCATTCAAAAATTCCTCAGCTTGAGGGGGCTGCAAATTTTATAAGGCCATAATTGTAGAACGCTAAGAGATTATTGTGTGAGTTTTAAAATTTATCGGTGAATATATACTTGGTTGAGAATAGTAGAAAAAATATCTTATCAACTTGTTGCCCTCACATTTGGGACAAGTGTAGCTAAAATTTTAGGGCTTTTTTGTTCCCAGGCTCCAATCATCACAATTTTTTGCAAAGCATCTTTATTTGATATAAGTATAAACATATAAATTTTTGGAGTTTGCTCCATGTCTGGAAGTTATGCATCTCAAACATAAAAAAATGCTGCATCTGCGACTGATATATATATATATATATATATACATATATATATATACATATATATATATATATATATATATATATATATATATATATATATATATATATATATATATATATATATATATATATATATATATATATATATATATATATTTATTGTAGTTATTAAGGTGCTCTTAAAAGTCTTTGCAGTCTTTTCACAGAGCACAGTGGAAGAGCATAGTTTTTGCCGACCTTTAAAAGATTGAGGTCGGCAAATTATTGCTGACCTCATTTTTGCTAATTCCGAGGGTTGATATATATACATATACCAATCCTCGGAATTAGTAAAAATGAGGTCGGCAATAATTTGCCGACCTCAATCTTTTAAAGGTCGGCATCAGGTCGACAAAAAAAATTTAATAAAAAGGTCTCACCATAAAACATAGAAACAAGGTCTGCAATTTTTTGTTGACCTCAAACATTCTAAGATCGGCATTGCTGAATGCCGACTTTAAAATTAATATATATATATATATATATTATATATATATATATATATATATATATATATATATATATATATATATATATATATATATATATATATATATATATATAAATATATATATAAATATATACAAAAAAAATATATATATATGTACATATGTATATATATATACATATATATATATATATATATATATATATATATATATATATATATATATATATATATATATATATATATATATATATATACATATATATATATATATATATATATATATATATATATATATATATATATATATACATATATATATATATATATATATATATATATATATATATATATATATATATATATATATATATATATATATATAAACTGCTACTTAAACAAGTGTTAGTCTTAGAATGTGTGTTATGATTAAATGTTAAATGCGTGTTATGAAATGCTAGATACATGTGGTCACTTATATAACCACAAATATAATATTTCGTCTTGACAACTCAACTCCTTGCATGATCTAAATAAGCCCATTTACAAACTGCACTGAGTAAACTTAAATTAAAATTAAAAGTAAATAAACTATAAACTGGAAAGGAAAATAAAAACTAAAGAAAAAACAAGGCTAAATTAAAAAAGTAAAAATCTTAAAGAGTAATAAAATGAATAAAAAATAAAACAGAAAAAATAAAAGCATAAAACTGATGTTTTTATTCTAATTTAAAATTGTTTTACAAAAAAGAATTTAGAAAAAAACCAAGTTTCAAAGTAATTTAATCCAAGCTTAATTACTTTGAAACTTGATTATTTAAAAAAATAATTTAATGTTTTATTAATTTTAATAATTTAAACATTTGAAATAATTATTCGTTAGTAGGATTTAAATCCTCAAACAATTCAGATTAAATGTCAATTATTCATCTGCATATATCAACTATTCTCATATATATATATATATATATATATATATATATATATATATATATATATATATATATATATATATATATATATATATATATATATATACACATATATATACATATATTTATGAGGAATACGACTATGGTTCAAAAATAAGGTTTGAACTTTATGAGTTTCAAACACTATTTTCCTGTTGTTCTTTTTGTGCTGTGTTTAAATAAACAACTTATTAATAAAAAATAAATACCTGTCTTGAAAGTCTTAAATGCTCCTCACAGAACTGACTAATAAAATGAGTTGCTTTAAAAGAAATGGCATCCAAAAATGAATTGACTGCTACTAGGCTGCGATCACCAATCAAGTGGCGCTATAAATTTAAATAATTAGGTGTAATCATTTAGGTGAATCAATAAACTGGAAATTAAAACATGTTTATAGGAAAGGAACAAAAAATTTTCCAATCATGCCAATAAGCTAAAGTGTATATACTTAGAACTGTCCACTTTGTTCACAAAAATAAACTTAAAAAAGATTAAAAAAAGGCAGTAACAAACTTAAAAAAGATAATAATTGAAAATGAACCTTTTTATTATTATGTAAAAATTGATTAACTTTAAATTAGCAGAACAGTTAAATTGTTAGTTAAAACCCAGTTAAAAGTTAAATTATTTAATAATTTAATAAAGACCATTTTGCTAATAGTTAAAAATTTGATAGTAAGACACACTAATCAACTTCTCTACAGTAAGTGATAGGTATTTTAGGTATTTATTGGTATAATGATTTGTATAATTTTATATTGGTATAAGTTTCAGCTTTTCTTAGTTTGAATTATTAACAATATGAATCTACCAACTAAAATATATATAAAAAAGTATGCTTGTATTCTAGCAAACCCATTGAAAAAAGTTTTCTGCAAATACTTTTAGTATTGAGAAAAGATAATTGGATTCTTTCAATATCTTTTTTTTTACAGATTTTAATTATTAATCTGCATATGCAACAATTA